GTGGAAGATCGCCATGCGCTTCCTCCCAAACACTTCAATTTTATTTTGCTTTATAATATCTCAGGAATCACAGTTTCCACCATGAAAATTCTTCTCATTTCAAAATAGTTTAACTCCATATCTGAGCACCAGCTGAGTAACTCCTGTGAATTAATATGCTGCAAGTAAAATTCAGTCATTTCTCAACTACTTCAATGTTTACCCTGAGAATCAGGAGATTTTTAGATTTTTAGGAGGACATGCTGCATGCAGGGCAGCACAGCTGAAAGACACATTAGGAACTTTAAATATTTTAATTTTGTGCTATTAAAAATGCACTGACACCAAGGCCAGCCCCATGTGCACAACCTACACCCACCCCCTTGCCTGCCTACAGACACATCTCTAACCTCAGGACTACGCAGTGCTGGGTGTCATCCTTGTCCCTGCATCCACAGCAGAGCCAGGCTTCCAGGAGTTAACAAGGAGTCAAAACTCCCCCTCAAGGGAACATGGGCACACACAAGACATACAATCACCCTTCCAGGCTCTTGACTATTTTAAGCATGAGAGAGATACAGAACTTCACAGGCAATGGCTTGTTCCGAGTCTGGCAGGGCTGCACCACTCACGCCAGGATGTCACCGCGGGCAGGAGCTCCATCCCCTGCTGCCACCAGCATCATCCCTCATCCTGCAGGAGCTGCATTCCCCAGGCACACACAGCCAGACCCATGCTCAGACCCAGAAGTAATTTTTCTACATTACTTCATCAGAAAAGCAAAATGGACAGAAGCGTCCCCAAGACGTGACACTTTTGGGGAAGACTTTGGGGATGTTCAAAGGAGAGGGAATGCTGTGCACAGCCACTTACAAGGCAAACCCTGCACCCCAGGACAGCAGATGAATGGCTGGGCGGGACAGCAGAGTGGGGACTCGATGGAAAATAATCCAATGCAGTTGTCAGCCTCCTCCAGTGCCGCCGACTGCGCATTCGACATTGGGACTGGAAAGGACACGAGGCACAATCTGCTGGTCATCCATATGGATGCTCCCTCCCTCCCTCCTTCAGTCCTCCTCAGTATCTCAATCGAGGTCAGGCACGCACACTCAGACTTGTTTTCTGACAAATTTGTAACTAAAAAGCTGGAACTAATAACTGTAAGAGCCCAAAGCTGGTTTCATGGACTTGTTTAGGCAAAAAAGCTGGCTGACTCCACCAATTTCCATCTAGGCAAGGTAATAGAGAGAAATCCTTCACTCCCGTGTAAAAATGTAAATCCCAGCTCAGTGAGTCATTTAAACACATGCCTAATGCAAAGCTGGAAACAAATCCCGCTAATAATCCGGGCTGCTCGCTTATTTACAGCTAGGCATGGCTTAAGTACCTGGATGATCTGGAAATACCCCGGAGCCCCCTGAAAAGAGCCTAAGCCAGGCTGGTCTGGGAATTAATCACAGTGGTATGAGCAGAACTGCTAATATGAACCGGGGGAGGACTGTGTGTGTGTGTGCTGAAGCATCTGTTCAAGTTTAGGCATATAAAACATTTTTCAGCCCAATGACTCCAGAGGGAAATGCTTCATACATCAGCTCATCTGACTCAATTTTTCCATCACATTTCCTTTTATACAGTTTTGTCCACAAATACACTATTTGTTTTTTCCAAATATAGATTTTTTTATTTATAGCCAGAAAACCTTGTAACTTATGTTATTGCTTAAAACCCTAGGTTCTGCTTTGAAATGGAATCATACTCTTCCTTGAAACGGAATCACTGAGGAATTACTGGCCAGTAGTGAGGTATGAAACCAAGTTCTCTATATTTGCAGAAGGAAAAGGGATTTGTTTTTGCCATTCTCAGTATTTCCTTCACCAGGAATCACCAGTAAGATCACAAGTGGCTGCCCAGCCACACGCTGAGTATGTCAATTATCCCACAACACATGCAGGAACTTTCACCTGAAATCTTCATTTTATGCCAAAACTAAGTCGAGTTTCTAAAAATCCCAACCAGGTCTTCCAGGCAGTCCTGAATTTGGGAAGAACTGTGTGTCACTACCCATGCAGCAATAACAATTCATATTTATGGTATGAGGAGGTCAGAAAAGGAAATGCTAACATTGCCCTTTCCCCTCCAAGAAGCATTTTGGAGATATTCCTTTTTGTAGCTTTTAATGGAAAGCAACGAGCCTCCCAAAACCAGGACCAAGAATGGGCAGTGAATGGGAAGTTTGGTGATATTGGCATTTTAAAAACATGGGTTTTTTTCAAGAGCGGAATTTACGTACTGAGCGGTACTGAACACAGCAAGCAAAATGTGATTTAATACATTTTGACCATTATTAACCACAATTTGAGTCAATAAAAAGCACAGCCTGTTATTCCATGGCACAAGCACGGGACAGTGGAATTGCACTCCCGCTGCTCACGGGAAGTGCCGAGACCAGCTGCAAACACTGATAAATGCCAGGGGCTCCTGCAACAAAACCTTCACTCCCTTCCAAAGCAGGGCACACAGGGGTGGCCGTGCAGCCACCCCTGAGGGGCTGGCAGCGGGGTCCAGGGGCCATCTGTAACTCTGGGAGCCTCCCTACTGGCTGGGCAGGGATGTGATTCCCTCCGCATGTCAGCAGCGACAAAGTAGAGCCACCATAAAAATCAGGGAATTGTAATGGAACTTTTTTAATGGCAATAATTTGCCTCCTATTAAGCGGATTAAAAATACATAAATCTGGAGCACAAGTGAACTCTGTGGAGTGGCAGCACAGAACACAAAGTCTGTGAAGCAGGGTGGGAGCAAAGCATCACCTTCCCCCTAATGAGGCAGCAGTGCCCATCCCCCGGGAGGGACAACAAAGGGGTCCATTATCCACCAGGGTTTCACTCCAAGTGTTTAATGATCACCACCCTTGTCTGAGTTCCTGCTGGGCTTCAGGGAATCCTGTCCCAGCAGGAAGGATGAGGCACAAAAGAGGTACCTTGTGATTTCCACCTTTAAAAAAGGTGCTGAAAATTGAAGTTGTGTAAGGAAAGAGCCCCAAGATCAGCCCCCTCTCCCCAGCTCCATGCTGGTGGTGAGGCTGCAGCCTGACTTCTGAGAATCACAGAATATCTTGCGCTGGAAAAGACCCACAAAAATCATCCAAGTCCAACTCCTGATTCCATCACTTCTTTACTCAACCAGCACCCCTCTGCAGGTGCCAATGACTACAAATCACCAAAATTCACCCCAGTGAGCAGGGTCTGCCTGGGCTCACACACTCTGTGGGGCTCCAGCAGCTCTCCATGGAAAGCTCACCATTCCATGAGGTCTGCTCACTCTCCATGGAAAGCTCACTATTCCATGAGGTCTGCTCACTCTCCATGGAAAGCTCACTATTCCATGAGGTCTGCTCACTCTCCATGGAAAGCTCACTATTCCATGAGGTCTGCTCACTCTCCATGGAAAGCTCACTATTCCATGAGGTCTGCTCACTCTCCATGGAAAGCTCACTATTCCATGAGGTCTGCTCACTCTCCAGCATCACAGGAAGAGGCACCACCAAGCCCTTGTGGCTCTGGATTCTCAGCTCCCCAGAGAAGCACGAAGGCACTGAATTTTCAGTGACCCAATCCATCACACACCCAAGGAAGGCACCTTCTGGATTATCCAGCTCCTAACTGGGTGTTCCTAAGCTGCTCTGTTGATCCTAAGTGGCTGGATCACTCCTAGGTACAACCTCAGGCACTGGATCTCATCCTTTCCTTGGCAAAAGTGGTGCATGAGGAAAGTCTGGGGATTTTTTTGACTCACAGAAGTTGCTGGCAGTCAGAAATTACTAAATCAACAAATTTAGGTGTTAAATTTCATCACAAACTCTCCATCAATGATTAGATTTCACAGCGTATAAGAAACTGATTCTTGTAAACTCTAGAACCACCCAAACCCAGAAAAGACTTTTTAATAGAAAGTTTCACCTAAGCAGTATAATTTCCACACCAATTACCTTTAGAACCACTGAATTCTTTAGAAGAACTGTACCTATGATTAAAACTCTCCAGGGTGTACCAGAATATTTGCTAAATTCTTAAAATTTATCGCAATTTCCCCAGCATCTGAGTTTTAACTTTCCCCCTACCAAGGGCTGGGACTCCTAGAATCCCTCACATTCCCAACCCTCTTGGGGTTCCTTTCTGCCTTGTTCAAAGCAAGCACTGTGCTCTCAGTCCTTGACCCAAATTTTCCAGTTATTTACCAGTATTTACATCACTTGCACATTATCTGTGATGACCTGGGTGTTTGCTGTGAAGTGAGGGGCAAAAGAAGACCCTTAATGAAAGGCTGAGGATGGTACACATCTAGAAAAGAGGATTTCATGACAATTCCTTGTCTAGAATCCTGCATTCAGACTTGTGAGTTGTTTTAAAAAACCCAAAAATTGTAATATTGTTCTATAAATAAAGAAAACACTTAGATCTGTAAATGGAAATGTTTTCATTAGCAATAACTCAATAGTCTCCTCCATCAATGGAAGGACAAATTTACAAACTCTAGTCTAAAAGCACCAAAGGCAGTCAGACCCTTAGGTAAGGGAACAGCCTGTCAACAAAACGTTTTTAATAACTTTTCATCATTCCAACTGATCCAAACCTTGATAAACTCATTTCAAAAAGACAAGAGGTGCTGGGTGACAAAATCCAAGGAGCAGCTGTGCTTTAGCACAGTCCAAAAAACAGAGACACTCCTGTAAAACAGGAGTTTTTCCCCATTTCAAAAAGACAAGAGGTGCTGGGTAACAAACTCCAAGGAGCAGCTGTGCTTCCAGCACAGTCCAAAAAACAGAGACACTCCTGTAAAACAAGTTCCATGCAAAGTGAAACCTCCAAAGGGACCTGTCACCGTGCTCCTGCTAGCATTTCGGTTTGGAAATGCCAGACAAGTTCCTAAATCTGTAGAAATACCCTGCAAAAGGGCTCTTCTCAGCAGAGAAAGGCTCAGAGACCCCTCGCTCAGCCCAGCCCCAGCCCCTCAGCTCTTACCTGGCGGCCTCGGTGCCCGCAGCCATGCCCAGAGCCCCGGCCAGCGCCGTGCCAGCCGCGGGGACAGCCAGCGCTCCACTGCTGCAGCCGGTGCCACCGAGGGCCAGCCCCTCGCTGGAGCTCTCGGCGCATTCGCCAGGCAGCAGCACAATGTGTGACAGCTCAGCCCACCCCCAGGGAGCCACCAGTGACCACAGAGCTCCGTCCCTGCTGCTCCCCAGTTAATGCAAGCGCTGCTGGAATTGCGGGACTTTCCCTCCGAGTCCAACTGCACAGCAAGACTCAAATTCCCTCTTAAAACTCCTTACCCATGCTGCTTTCCAGCGCCGAGCTGACCTGTTCTCTCAGGAAAGCACAAGCACAACTTTGGAACAGACTTGGAAAGTAGCAAAAATAAGGAGAAAGGCACCTTGCGTTTTCCTAAACGAGTCTTGACAGAAAACAACAACTTTTTCCCTTAAATGACCTGAAGAACGGAGGGTTTGGTAACTGCACTGACAGCTGGTTCATTGAACATCCCCAGGACACAGATTTCTAACAGGAAGGGACAGTTTGGGGTTTTTCTTAACCAATTATCTCTGACTTAGAGCAGGCAGGAGACATGGAAATAATAACAACAATCAACGGTCTGTCAGATAGAAAGGTTTTGTTCTCCCTCTCATTTCCAAATACCAATCAAACACCCAGTGAAAAATCAGAACCTGGTGGTACCAACTGTTGCTCCAGAATCCATATGGTACATCCATGCCCTAATTAATCCCTATGAACTATCTCCTATTTGTAATTAATTTGACGGTGGAACAAAATCAGCACTTCACTGGGAAGCAAGGTCACACTGACCAGAAAGTGTCAGGACTAATTCCTACCAACAGAAATGAGAATTGCCTTTAAAAGGCCAGTAAAAATAGCTGCACAAATGTCATTCCTGTGAAATTTTATGACGCTGGGTGAAAGTTAGGCCCCACGGAGGCCAAAATTCTCATCTGACACAAGAGCAGGATTCTTCTCATGCTGCTCTGCATTTGGGTCAAGCACAGAGAATCACGGAATGTCCTCGGTGAGTAGGGACACACAAGGCCACCAAGCCAAACTGACACCCTACACAGGACACCCCCAACAATCCCCCCACGTGTCTGAGAGCTTTGTCCAAACACTCCTGGAGCTGGAGAAGTATTTCCTCAAGCAATGCCAAACCGCACGGCTGCAGCCCGTCAGCTCCAGGCAGGGCTGGCTCCGGCTGCCAGCAGCGCTGTGAGGGTTTATCCAGACAAGGAATTCTGAGCAGGAGCTGCTGCTTCCAGGAGCTGACACTGGGATCCACCGGGAGCCCCGTCCTGCCTGGAGCCAGGAGGGGGACAGGGGTGGCACTGGAGGGGAGATGGGCATGGGGTGACAAGGGAGGAGAGATGGGCACTGGCATGACACAGGAGGGGAGGTGGGCACGTGGTGACACGGGAGGGAAGGTGGGCACAGGGTGACACAGGTAGTGGGGAGGTGGGCACGGGGTGACACGGAGAGAAGGTGGGCACGGGGTGACACAGGTGGGGAGGTGGGCACAGGGTGACACAGGTAGTGGGGAGGTGGGCACGGGGTGACACGGAGGGGAGGTGGGCACGGGGTGACACAGGTGGCGTCTCCCGGTGCGATCGCTCCGTTCCCGCGCTCGGCAGCGCGGGCAGCGCTCCGTTCATCACCGAGGGGCTCGACACGTGCAGCCGCGGGCGGGCACGCGGCGCTCCGGCCGGGAAAGCCCTTCGGGCATCGCTTCCCTCGGGATAAACAGCCCGGAGAGGCCCGTCCCGGAGCGCGGAAGGCAGCGGGGAACGGGAGGACGCGGGGACCCGGGGGGTGACACCGGCCCCTCGCGGCGGCACCGGCGGCGGAGCGCGCCCGGCTCATCCCGGCGCCTCCGGCTCCCCCCGGAGCGCCCGGCTCGGTCCCTCCGGGCTGCCGCCTCCCTCAGCCCGCCGCGGCTCCGTCCCCTCGGGGCCCGCGGCTGCACTCGGGCTCCCGCCTCCCGGTGCCCCCGGAACGGCCGCTCGGTCCCCTCAGCCCCCCGCCGTCTCCCATGGCTCCGGCCCCTCGGGTGGCGCCGCTCGGTGCCCTCAGGCCCCCGCCCGGCCCGGCCCGGTCCCGCCGCACCCTCAGCCCCCACTCACCGGGTCCGGCCCGTGGCCTCAGCGCGCGCGGGCCGGGGCGGGCGGGGACGGGGGGACCCGGGCGGGCGGGAGCGTCCGGAGCGGGACAGGGATAGGGACAGGGACTGAGCAGGGAACAGGGACACGGGACAGGGACACAGCAGGGAACAGGGACACGGGACACGGGACAGGGACACAGCGGGGAACAGGGACAGGGAGTGGGGTCAAGGACACGGGACAGGGGCCATGATGGGGAACAGAGACAAGGACAGGGACTGGGGTCAAGGACAAGGACACGGGACAGGGGTCAGGATGGGGACAAGGAAAATTACACGGGACCGGAGTCAGGAGAGGATATAGGGACAAGGACACAGAGCGGGGTCAGGATGGGGTATAGGAACAAGGACACAGGACTTGGGTCACCAGGGGGACACAGCAGGGGACAGGGACAATGACACGGGACGGGTCAGGATGGGGTATAGGGACAAGGACATAGAGTGGGGTCAGGATGGGGACGCAGCAGGGGGATAGGGACAAGGACACAGCAGGACAGAACATGGGGAGCAGGACAGGAATAGGGAGGAACACTGGAGCAGGGCTGTGGACAAGGACACCATAAACAGGGTGGGGATGAGGACATTGGGAGCAGAACAGGGACAGGAGAAGAGTGGAATGGGGACACTGAGAGCAAGGTGGGGATGGGGATAGCAAGAATAGGATGAGGACAGGGACACAGGGAGCTGGACAGGGCCTGGGGCAGGGTGGGGATGTGGAGACCAAAACAGGGTGGGATGGGGAGATCAGGAGCAGGACAGTGATGGGGACAGTGGGACAGGGCTGTGGATGGAGACCAGGAGCGGGATGGAGGCAGTGGAAGCAAGAACGGGACAAAGATGTTGGGAGGGGGATGGGGACATAGAGAGTGGGACAAATATGGAGGCACTGGCAGCAAAATGGGGGATGGGGACACTGGGAGCAAGATGGGGATGGGGAGAGCAGGAGCAGGATGAGGACAGGGACTGGGGCAGGGTGGGATGGGGGCATCAGGAGCAGAAGGGGAATGAGGACACAGGAAGCAGGATCAGGACAGAGAGCAGGATAAGAATGGGGACACTGGGAGCAGGTCTGTGGACAGGGACAGCAGGAGCAGGATGGGGACACGGACATCTGGAGCATCTGGAGTAGAATGAGAGCAAGGGCATCAGGAACAGGGTGGGGACATGGAGCACAGGAAAGGGACAGGATGGGGACAGGGGACACCAAGAGCAGGGTGGAGGTCTGGGACAGGGACGGGAACACTGGGAGCAGGATGGGAACAGGGACATGGGCAGCAGAGCAGGCACACCAGGAACAGGATGGGGATGGGGACATCAGGAGCAGGGAGGAAACCAAGGACGTTGGGAGCAGTTTAGGGACAGGAGAAGGGTGGGATTGGGAAATTAGAAGCAGGGCAGGGACACAGGCACTGCAAGCAGGATGAGGTCAAGGACACAGGGAGCAGGACAGTGATGAGAACAGTGTAAACAGGATGAACAACAAGGGCAGGATGGGGGCAATGGAACCAAGAAGGGGACAAGGACACTGGGACATGGGGAGTAGGAAAATTATGGAGGCACTGGGAGCAGAATGGGTGATGGAGACAATGAGAGCAAGATGGGAATGGAGAGAGCAGGAGCAGGATGGGGACAGGGACATTGAGAAGCAGAACAGGGACTGGGGTAGGATGGAGACAGGGACACCAAAGCAGAGTGGGAATCAGGAGCAGGACAGGGACAAGGACACAGGGAGCAGTGGGAGCAGGACAGGGACAAGGACACAGGGAGCAGTGGACAGTGGGAATAGGCTGTGGACAGGGACACCAGGACTGGGGTGGAGGCACTGGGGACAAGACAGGCATGAGGACAGTAGAAGCAGGACTGCAGTCAGGGTCCCCAGGAGCAGGATGGAGGCAGGGACACGGCACAGGGTGAGGGCTCATCCCACGAGGAGATGGCTGCTCGAGGCGTCGGATCCTGTGGGACCTCCCAAGTCCCTGGGGATGGGGACGAATGGGAACAACTCGGGGGGCAGCACAGGGTCACTCATTGCTGATGGCCCTGCTGGGGGTGGGGGCACATCCCTGGAGCATATCCCAAAACTGAGCCCAGCTCGTGTCACAGATGGAGCCCCCAGTTTCCCAGAGCGTGATACCACGTGCCTCAGTTTACCTGCGCCACGGGCCGGGCAGGCACATCCCTTGGGGCATCCGCACAGATCCTTGTGTGGGGAAATTCCAGCCGCACGACAGGAGCTGGGGGCAGGGTCCAGCCGCAAACCCCCACTGCCAGGGCAGAGCAGTTTCCGCGGAAAATCCCCAGCTCCCGTGCGCAGAGCCAGGTTTGCAGCCGGCGGGTCAGCGTTTTCCAGCTGCTGGGAAGAGCCTGCGTGAGAACCGGCTGCTTCCCACGCTGCCCGGCCGTGTCCCGCCGCCCTGTCCCGGGCTGCCTGTCGGGAAGGTGCCCGCACTCGCAGGGACCCACCTGCGATCCACCCCGGGCACCGCAGCCTCGGGGCGCTGCTCTCCCAGGGCAGGTGCGACTGGCAGCGATGCCAATCCGCGGCTGTCCCCAGGGCCGTGTCCGGCCCCTTATCCAGCCCTGGAGAGCCCGAGGCTGGGATGATGGATGTCTTCTTCCTACAAACCCGCCCAGAGCAGCCGAGCACCCGGCTCCGGAGGCAGGGCCACCCCCGAGCCCCGGGACGTGCAGGGCAGCACCGAGCACCACTGAGCCCTGCACGCTGATCCCACTGCAGCGTCCCCGGGTCTGCTCCGGGAGATGCCTGGCCTGGTCTCTGCGGGCCCAGTTTGGTGCTGGGCTGTACTGGAAGGTGACAAGCATCCCCAGTGTGGCCACGGTGGTGCCAGGGTTGTATTCTCCTTGCACCAAGCCAGGATTGAGCCCCCCTTTCTCCCAGGACAGAGGGGGAACATGCCATCGGTGAGGCCACAGTGCCAGGGCA